CCTCTCTTAAACTTTAAATTCCCACAGAGGTTGGGTTGAATTCATACTAAACGATAAGTGGACTACAGGATCCAGTTCTCACTTGCCATTTAATCATTAACGTTCTGAGAATTTATTAAGTCCTTTCAAGTTTTAGGGGACTTGGCTAAAAGAATTCTCGGATCCCCCACCTCGGAAAATCCAGAACACTCTTCGTTATTTCATTGGCCCCACCCTTCTATTTCCCAGTGAGACTCTAAGGGTCATGGCTTCACATGTTCACGCAACAAACAAAAGGGAGGTGCCTACCAAATATATAGACTCTTTACTGGAGGAGAACTTAGAGAAACATCTAGGATTGTGTCATGTCCCTGTGGGCTTCAGTCAGCTCACATTAAGACCATCTAATGAAGTACCTAAAACCCAGATTACAAAGCAGCAGTGTTGAGACTGCACCCCTCCTCCCTGTCCCCTGTGTGTCTTCCTCCCTGTTTCCTCCTGGGGAGGTGTGGTTGAAGAACCTTGGGAAAGGCTCTAGTCTGCAATGACTGCTCTGGTGGCCATGCTGGGGAGCACATGCTGTGCCCATGAGCTCTGGAGCCCTAGCCCGTGCCCCTGCCCCTGTGGGCCCTGGGCTCTCTGAGCAGCCCTACTCAGTCCCGTGTTGCCAAGCAAGGGCATGCTACCTGATGCACCCCAAACGCCAGCAATTATGGCACTGGGATTTAAGAAAAGAAAAGGCTTGATTGTGAGGTCAAGAGGCAAGGAGACAAGAGGCAAGGCCGTCAAATCCGTCTGCCTGATTCAGGCTTGGGGTCAAATTTGAGATGTTAGGGAGAAGAGGCTGGTGTGCAGAAATGCTGGTGGGGCAGGTTCTGATTGGGGGTCTTTGAACATTTATGGTCATGTGTGGAAAGGGCTTTACCTGGATCTTCCCACGCGATGGACCCTCATTTCTGATGAGAGTCTGGCTTTCCAGTGCTAGTCGTGTTCCTGTCCTTTGGTTCTGTAGGGGGAGACTCTTTGGTTCCAGGTGCTATTTCAGGTCACAATTTTCTCTCTGGGCATGCTCTGGCCACATGACTTGCAGCTTTTTGGCTCACTGCTCCTGGAAAACAGCATTCTGTTGATAAGATGGGGTCAGTTGAAACTGGTCCCATGGTTACACTAGTGCTGTAGGAATGTTCCCAGCAGCAGGACCCAGTGGCGTGCAGCCCTGGCCAGGCTTGGTGACCTTGTGCAGGGTGCCCAGGTCATGGTCCCAGCTGCTCTAGCCCTCGGCCCTGCTCAGCCTCCTGAGTGCTATCCCTCAGACTTGTCTTCAGACCGTGTTGTAATCCTTGATTTCATAATGCTCCTCTCACTCCAAGACCCCTTCAAGGACCGTTCCCATGCTCCATGAGTGGGTCCCAAGAGAGAGATGACTTTGACGATGAGAACAACTTGGACACTGAGCGGTTCCATAATTTATGAAGGATTCTGTCCCTGAAAAGTCCTGCAGAAGCCCCAGGGCTCCAAAGGGACTAGGTTGTCACCAGTCTGCACAGGCCCCCACGTGGGTGTGGGAAGCGGGGGCGGGTTGGTCTTCACAGCTGTCTACTCCTCTGCAGCATGGATACACCTCCATTTATCCAACTTGAAGAGGGGTGTTTGCTGTTCACTGTGCAGCCATCACGTGTCAGGGTGCTGTGAGTGCCCCCAACCCATTATTTAGGACATGTGGGCATTTCTGTGAGATGCGAGGTCTAGCAGTGGAATTGCTGCTCGTGGTGTGTGTTTTGCTTTGGTGGAAGCTGCCTGAGAGCTTTCTAAAGGGCCTGCCTCATTAGCAATTTAATTGGGATCTCATTAAATCCATAAGTGGTTTGGGATTAATTGATATCTTTACAACACTGAGCTTTCCAACGTAAGTCTACTACTTACTTATTCATTCATTTGTCTGTTTACAAGGCTCTCTAGGAAGTGTTACTATTGAACCACGGAAGTCTTCTGTACATCTTTCTGTAGGTTTCTGTCTAGTACCTCACCTTTATTATTGCTTGATATTTTAGATGGTATTCTGATTTTATTTTAAAATTTGTCTATGCTATATAAAGAATTCAGTTCATATATTAATTTTGTATCTAGGGACCTGGCTCCATTTTTTAAATTCTAATAATTTATGTGGACATTGGGCTTGACGATTTGAACATTAGCAAAGTTCACGGTCATCTCGTAAGCACTGTTTCCTGCAGAGACAGCGAGTGTATTCCCTCCTTTGGCATCCACAGAGCCCAACACTGTAGGGGACCCCTCCCCCCTTCTCACTGCCCCTCTGTCTCCAGTCTCCCACTTCCTCTGCTGCCCTCTGGTGGCCGTCCTGTCACCTTGGTGTCCCCACAGCAGGTTTCTGATCGTGTCCTGGTCCTATTTAGCAAATGCTCTGATCCTTTTAGCCAGGCCAGTCTCAGCAGACCAGAGAGAATTCGATCATATGTGGGAGGGGGTCACTCAAGTCACAGGCTGTGGGGGGGAATGCTGGGGGGAAGGAGGAGACGGACAGCCAGGATATAATGAAAGCCCCTCCTGCTTATCTGACAGACCCTGGTAAGGATGGACACACACCAAGCACTGGAACCCCACCCCACTCAGACCCTGACACTGTGGGGGGGGGGGGGGGGGTGTGCAGGGAGGAGTCTAATATTCCATCTATCTCAGGAGAGGGAGCTGAGGTGGAGGAGTCCCTCTGGGCATCCTGCGGACATTCTGGAGCTACGATTCAGACTCAGACCCTGAGAAGGGGTCAAGAGGATGGTACCCCTGAGGACCTCCAGGTACCAAAGGGCCACCAGTGAACTGTAAATGGGTTAATTTGCTGACTGAATGGACACGGGGTTTGCATTTGCCTGACTGTCTGAATAGAAAGTGATGGATTAAGGAGCACAGGATTCCTCCCTCCTCATCTTCTCAATTCCATCTCACCTCTTACCCAGGCAGTGTCAGCACCCCCACCTCCTTCTGAATCGAGAATCTTTACCATCGCCTAGGAAGCTCTGCCTCACCTCTCCCCACAATCCCAGGCTGTGTCCTGATCATCCCCAGTGGAGGCATCTGGACTTCTGCTCAGCTCAGGAAGGAGGGAGGTGGCGACTTCCTGAGGGCAGGTCTTGGAACTTCCCCATGTCTGTGTCCCCCAGGATAGCACCAGAGCAAGACTCTCTCCTTATTTGTTTAGCTATGGCAAAGAAACAAACAAAACTGTTGCACCATCAATTGTATGACTATGGTTAACACCGGTGATCTGTTGGGACCCATGGCGATCCCTGTGATCCAGTGTGAGCCATCCTTGGTGGTTTCCATGGTGACCCTTGTGGGTCCATTGGTACCCATGGCATTGTGGTAAAGATAAGAATCTACCGTGTGTTTTACTCTGGAGATGGTGAAGCTTTTAGACTCAGTCACAGCACATGCAGGAAAAGGACTCAGGGTGTATGTGAAGGGAGTTCACTGTACCTTCAACAAACAGGTGAAGCTCAAGCTTAATTCTGTCCTGGGTCCTCTGGGACGCAGATGGAGGTGGTGAGGGTGGAAGTGTCTTTGCCTTGTGAGGACTGGAGAGAGGGGAGAAGGAAGACCAACAGAAGTCTGGAGAGATCTGGACTGAGGGGCCATTTGCCAGAACAAACAGATGGGGTCCCTGAATCAATAGGTCAAGAAGAAACCCTTTTTGAGATTTCCAGAAAATAGCTTGGGATATATTCGGGCCCACAGATACAGCATCTTCCATTGTCCAGGATGAACAAGGCGTGGAAGAAAAGATACAAAGAATAGAACCATTGTCCAGGGGTCTGGAGAGAAGGGCAGAGAGTGGTCACAGTTTTTGGTTTTAGTTTCTATGGAGTTCTGTTTCTAGGATGAAAACATGGCATTGGAGAAAATAGAAGAGGTGACCCATGTTTCCAGCAGTGACAAACTGAGTCTCTGAGCAGGGAAATGGAGGGAGCACTATTTGAATCAGGCAGAATCATCACCTGAGACCCAGGTGTGCTGGCTCCTCAGCCTGGCTAGAGGGAAGGTGGGGCGTGTGACACCTCACCTGTCTTAACGGGGAGTCTGCTCACAGGACACCTCCATCCAACCAGATGAGTTCCCTGGCTCCCCAAACTCCCAGGCCACTAGGGCCTAATCAGTTCCCTGCAGGATGCTCACCTCAGGGAGGCCTCTGGGTGTCCACACCCTGCGTCATCGCAGGTTCCTGGGTTCTGATTCAGCACATCTGAGTGGGGCCTGAGACTTCACATTTCTCAGTTCCAAAAGGATGCTGATGCTGCTGGTCTGCGAACCACACTTTGAAAACCACGGCTCTAGGTCACGGTTCTCAGACTTTGCCACCCATTACAGCCCCTGGGAGTTTTCACATTCCTATTCACCAGTCCATTTAAGCCGTGTCTGTGGGGGTGACACCCTGGCACCCGTATGTCTTAAAGCTCCCAGGAGATTCCAAAGGGCAAAGCTGGAGAACCGCTCTCACTCACATCTCCGCTGAGGAGTAGAAGCATTCAGAGAGGTAATAGATGCTGTCATTATTAAGACCACAGCAGGCTTTTATTTCACTAAAAGAAAATTCAAAATTACTGTATCTGACTGTCCTTTTCACAGAAATCCATCTAAACAAGTTAAGTACCATAAAAACAAAGATTTTTAATGGTGGTTGTTTTTAGACTAAATGAATACAGTATTTGCCCGTAATTTTGGTAGTGAAAAAATGATTTTTGTGTGACTTTTTACCTGAAAGTCCTCTAAATAAAATGCATGCAAGGAAATAACCTTAAACTAGTGCAGTTTTCAATTGTTTGTTACAGCAAACAGCGTGCCTAGAGAGACAGTTGGGTCTGATGGGAAGATGTGGTTCATTCCAAGGGCCACCCGTGAGACTGGGGAGAGACGGGGTGTCCACATACCCTGTTGTGATGCATCTCAGCCACCAGGGGGCACCAACACAGCTCCGCTCCAAGAGCTGGGGCCCCTGGGTGGGTGGGAGAGATGCTCCACCTTCAGAGGCAGAAAAGCAGGGACAAGACATGGAGGTAACAATGCAATTACTCGAGTCATACACGTGTACAAGGACAGGAAACAAAGATCAAATTCATATAAGATTTAGAAGTTTCTGAACATTATTGCCACGGGAACAACTCTCGAGGAAGATCTGCCATTTTGTCCTGAAATATTTTATCAAAAGCTTCAGCTTGGGCCACCGTGAAGTGATTTTTCCAGTCCCCGGAAGTGCCTACAAACATGAAATAGAGACTCAGATCAGATCTGGGACTAGGTCTCAGGTGCCCAACACATCTCCTCCTGGATCTATTCCCTCTGTCCATTTGACATGGAAATTGTAGCTAGTCGAGCATTATGAGCAATGGCTCATCAGCAGGCTTTTATACTCCCTGCCAATCATACCCATTTACACTTCCACCTGCCTCGGAAAGGTTTTCTCTGTCCTCCTCTCTCCGAACACACCCTGTATACAATCACCAGCAATCCTGTGCCTCTGATACATCCAGAATCTGGCCAGTCCTCACCACCTCTCTTTCTACCGCCTTGGCCCAAGCCAAAATCTCATCTCATCTGGGTTATTGTATTAGCTTTATGACTAGTCTCTCTGTTTTTGATCTTTCTCCTCTATAAATTAATCTCAGCATGGCAGCCATCTTTGTTCCTTGAGAACCTAATCCAGGTCATGTCCCTTCCAGCTGAGATTCTCTGAGGACTTCCGGATTCACTCAGTGAAAGGGCTCATGGCTTCAGGTGGTTTGCTCCCGTCATTTCTCTGACTCCATCTCCTATGACCACCCACTTGCTCACTCTACCCCCTCACATTGAGTTTTCGGATTCTGTCTCAGACATTCCTCTTCCTGAGGCTATTTGCATTTCCTGCTCCTTCTTCCTGGAAGGCTGTTCTCTCAGACACATTCATGGTCTTCTTGTTTCCTTCTTTGACATCTTTACTCCAATGCATCTTGTCAGTGAGGTTCTCTCCCACCACCCAGTTTAAATCTGTAAGCCCCATCCTTGCTGTATTTTACTTATAACACTTATCGTGTATGATTTCCTCTATGTATTTCCCTTGTGTGTGTGGCATGTATTTCCAATATATGCAAGCTTTAGAAAGTCACAGGCTTTTCTTTTTAAATTGCCAAAGACTTAGTGTTTCAAAGAGTCATAGACACATAGTATGTACTCAAATATTTGTTGAAAGGATGACTAAAAGAATGAGGCATGTGCTATTATTATCTCCATTTTACAGATGAGGAAAAAAAGACTCAGAGAGTTACCCAGTCAGAAAGTGCAGGATGTGGATTTGAAGCCAAAGATTTTATCAGTAGAAGCCATCCTGTTAATGGTACAATCATATTATTATTTCTATGTCATAGAAATTAACACTTGTGTTATATTACGATATTAAACAAATAATACATTCATTAAATTATGATCTAAGAGAATAATATATAATTATGTATAAATTAATCCCTAAAAATGAATTATATACTGGTAACATATATGCATAGAAATGATATAGTAGAATGTCTAATGAATAGTTAGTACCCTATAGACATCCACTGTTACTGTCATGCTCATCATTATCTTCATATTTAGACCAATTTTTATGGTTATTGATTTCTTAGGCTCCTGAATCATCCGTAACACATCTGACTTTGAGAAGCCAGAAAGAGCTCTGGAGGCAGCAGAGTCCCTATGAATTCAATATGGCAGCCCCCTATTCAACATCAGTCCAGATGAGAGAATTGAATGATTCTATGAAGGGTCCTCAAGTTCTACATTCCACTCATTTTCAAAATGCTAGAAAACTTTTTGATGTCAATTTCTGTTTATGTCTCTCCTTAGTCCTCGTCTCTTAAGAATCCACCCAAACTCTTGTGTGTCAGTTTTGGGGGGGCTACTGTAACCAGGTAACATAGACTGGGAGGCTGTGACACCAGAAATGTATTTTCTCACCATTCTGGGGACCAGAAGTAAGAGCAAGGTTATGACAGAGTTGGTTTCTTCTGAGGCTGTGAGGAAAGAACTGTTCCACGCCTCTCTCCTCGGCTTATAAATGGGCATCTTCTTTTATGTGTTCACATCGTCATTCCTCTGCATGTGTCCATGTCCAAATTTCCTCTTCTTTTAAAGATCCCGGTCCTGTTGGATTCTGGTCCACTCTAATGACGTCATTTTAACTTAACTATTTCGGTAAAGACCCTCGGTCCAAATATACTCGCCTTCTGAGTTACTAGACGTTAGTGCTTCACATATGGATTTTGGGGGGACACAATTTGGCCCATAACATCTTGGGTATGAAGACATCTTTAACTAAATTCTGTGAGGCTCCAAGGTATTAATAATGGCTGAACGAGGTCAAGTTTTGAGTAAAGTCCATTAGAGCTCCAGGTTATCCTTAGGATGCTCACTGTTCTAGTGTTAACAGCTCTACTTCAATGATTCTCGTATTCTGACATGTAATATGTTTAGATATGTCATAACAGGGAGGCCAAAGTGTCAGCAGCTTGTTGCTTATTACACTTTATACCACACTTCTTTAATTAATTATTATATTGTTTTTAAAATTAATTCTTCCTTCTGTTCAACAAAAGTCATAGAACGTCTAACCCCTGTCAGTCATCATCCTTTAGAATGAAAATCATCAAGGATAATAATAACCACAGTCGATTAGGGAAAACTATTGCTTTTACCTAAAAATCAGATCGATCTCCAGTAATGGCGACTTCAACATCCAGGACTCTCCTAAGTGTAGCCCTTGAGGGACAATAAAAGTCTTTTTCTTGTTTCCTGAGCACGAAAGTACCCCAAACATCGTGAAAGTAGGTGGAACAGAATAGCCCTTGACCAAAGACAGCCAATATTTTATATGGTTTTTCATTATGTCATAATTTATATAACAAATTATTGAATTATAATTGATATAAGTTATTTAAAAATTAATCTTTGGCCTGTATGTGCCTTTCAGATGAAAGAAAGGACACAGATCAGATGTGGGACACAGAAGCAGGATATTATTCCTTTCCATCCCTTTCTTTCTTGCTTTCTTTTTCTTTCTTTCACCCACTCAACCATTCTTAGTCTCCTTGGTCCTAGAATATTGAAGTCCTACCCATGGAAGTTATGTTTAGTCTCCAGCATCAGAGATCGTCTATCAAAGGGATATGTGTCTTACTAGCTGCATCAGTTATTATACTTTTCTGAGGAAAATAGTAGCCCATGAGATTGTCATGATGACTCAATTACAAGCCACGTGTGGAGTCAGACCACCAGCTTAGCAATAATAATCACACTGTAGCTTTAACTGTTCTTATCATTACTGTATCTATTCCTCCCAACTCTCTATGGTATATAATAAATCCATGAGTAATTTGGAAAGGTTAAAATCCAGTATGGTTGCCTTCAGAGGAGTCATCCTAGACAAAAAGAAATGGAAGGTGTAGTCATTGAATTATGCACCAAATTTGATTGCATCCGCTCTATTTTATCCCTACCAAAAATCTATGTTGTTAATTCCCATTGCCTTTCTCTCTTAAACAACCATCTTTTGTCCTTTTAGCAATTTCTCACAAGCATTGTACATAAATATAAAATTTAAAATCTGCCAAACCCTGATGCATAAAAGGAAATCTAAGAATAGACAATCTCTCTATGCTAGGTATTCAGTTTACTTCAAGTTTAGTAAAGCGTCAAAGGCCAGGATTGCTAGAGATATTATTTTATAAATGACACAAATTTATCTTCTCACAATCTGGAGCTTAGAAGTCCAGGATCCAGGTGTCAGCAGCATTGGTTTCTTCTGCAGGCTTCTCTCCTTGGCGTGTAGATGGCTGTCTTCACAGGATCTTCTCTTTGTGTGAGCATGTTCCTGTGTCCCAATTTTCTCTTCTTATAAAGACACCATTTTATGGAATAGGGGGAACCTATAGACCTCACCTTGACTTAATCACATTGTTAAAGACCTTATTGCCAAATACAGTTACATTCTGAGGAACAAGGCATTAGGAAATCAACATGTGAATTTTGAGGAAACATAATTCAGGCTATAATACTTCTTCTTTTGGCCCCCACACACCAATTCATGTCCTTTTCACACGTAAAATACGTCCACGGATCCCAACTGCCTGGAAGTCCAAACCCATTCTAATGTCGACTTTAAGCCCAAAAGTCAGCTAAATATCATGTAAATCAGGCATGGGTCAGAATCGAGGTAGGATTCATCCTGAGGCAAGATTCTTCTCCAGCTGTGAACCTGGGAAACAAACAAATTACCTACTTCCAAAATACAATGGTAGGAGGAGCATAGGATATATATTCCAGTTCCAATAGGGAGAACTCAGAAAGCAAAAAGAGATCACAGGTGCCAAGCAATTCCAAACCCTAGCAAGACAACTTCCATAAGATTTTAAGTGTCAAAAATGAGCCTCTTGGTGTTGATGGTCTGATCTCCTGGCCGACTGGGGTGGAGGGGCCAACCAACCCCCCTGCCCTCGGTGGCAACTGCCTCCTGATTGAGGTCTTTTGAGTAATTTAATTTCTTCCTTCCATGAATCACCATCCTGGATGTATTTGAACTATGGCGTTCTGGGAAATTAAGCTCCTATTCCATTCAGTAGACACTCTTCATTCATCTTGTGCCCAAGGATACGGACACCATTAATCTTTCCTCACAGAGGGTCTGATATCGTCTGATAGCAAGACAGGCTCTCAGCTAAGTGAAAAGTCTCTCCTCTCTTTTCCTCAGTTGACTCATTCTTTATATAGTTCTTTGTTCAGGATAGTTCTCTGTGCTAAATCACCAGTGCGGTAGCACCAACATGACCATCTCCAATCCTGCCCTCACTTCCCAGGTCAATCCCAGCTGGCAAGTTGGCAGGAGTAGTGAATTAGCCTGGTCAGTGTTTGTGGAATGAATATGCCCCATGTCAAATTCTGAGGAGAGAGAATCTGAATGACCTCTCAAAAGTCAGATGACCACTGCAGCCTAGTCAACGTCCTCCAAGTGCCTGAAGCCCACATCAATGCTGTGAAAAGAGACTTTGTGATAAGGGCACATGAGGAGCTCTCTGAATGGTGAACAACTAGACTTGATGAATTCAAACACTGCCTAGTCCCACCTGTTAGTGCCCTGCTGTTATCACCAGTATGTCCGCCACATATTCTGATATATTGGGAAGGCACAGCATTTTCTTACTACCTTTTCTCATAATTGATCCTTTCTTCTCATCTAAAGTCTGACCACACAGGAGGGAATAATTGGACATCTTGTTTTCTTTCATGACCTGAAAGGAGCTATTCTTTTTTTTTTTTTTTTTTAAAGATTTTACTTTTTCCTTTTTCTCCCCAAAGCCCCCCAGTACATAGTTGTATATTCTTCGTTGTGGGTCCTTGTAGCTGTGGCATGTGGGACGCCGCCTCAGCGTGGCTTGATGAGCAGTGCCATGTCCGTGCCCAGGATTCGAACCAACGAAACACTGGGCCGCCTGCAGCGGAGCGCACAGACTTAACCACTCGGCCACGGGGCCAGCCCTGAAAGGAGCTATTCTTGAGGACGGAGTTCAGTTCTTCTGGTTCTAATTTCTTGCCCAGGAATTGGCAGATCTTCTCTACGATGCTTCTGGTGTCCTAGAAGAAAAAAAAAAAACAAGAAAGAGGACATGAAAGGGAGAGAACATAGAAAAGGAGGTGAGAAGGAAGAAACAACAATGTGAGGAGAAGGGGCAGGGGTGAAAGACAGGAACAATCTAAGAAGCAAGAAGCTATTGGTTGGTTGTGACTAGGAGGAAGTAAGGGAAAACTTAAAGAGGGAGGAGCACCAAGGGTAGAACGATGCAGGATCCACATGGTTTCCCAGTATAGTTGGCTTCAGGACGCCTTAACACTAAATACAGGGCCTGAGTTTTCTGAAGAGACTTGCAGAAAGGCTTCTAGACAATTATGATCAGGATTAACTGAGGAGAGGTTCGGGGAGAATTTGACAAAGATCAATGGGATTGACTTCAAATCCTGGCCGTGCCATCAATTCTTACCGTTTTACATAACTAACATTTGAATAACACAGAGTTTCACAATATCATCTCAGTAATTAGTACTTGACTCATGATCCTTGGAGATTATTAAAAGCAATGATTTATAACCAGAAAGCTTTGCTTTGAGTCATAGACCTTCTTCTTAGAGATATAATGCTTTAAAATGTTTCTTTATCCCATGAGCCCTCATAATGATCTAAGCAGAAGACACACAACTGTAGAAATTACTCCAATACAGGTTTATTTTGTGGCTTGAAAGCATAATTACTGAAGTGTAATGTACCTGAGGGAGTTAAACTTGTTACAGAAGGCTTCCTGATGAAAATGAAATTCACATGGAGGTCACAGAGGATTGGACAAAAGTAGCCAGAGGAAGAGGATGGGAAATAATTTTTTCTCAGAAGCAAAACCCTGTGTTTACATTATTTTTCATTTTCTCTGGGACACCATTAATGGGTAAAGTTCTTCTTCCAATGGTTTAATACGCCTTCCTGGTTTCGAGCATCATCTGACTGCTTCTCCTGCCCATCACTGTTCAATCTAGTACTTGACCTGTCAGAATAATTACACAGACTGATCTCATGACTTAGTTTCTTCTATCAGTAAATCTTGGGTGTCAGGCAATTGGACATATCTCTGGAATGACACTTTTCTCACCTGAACCTATCTTCTTCTTCAATCCCCTCCCAGCACTAGGTTATCAGCAGCATCTTGCGTCCTACACCTCGAAACTTTAGAACCATTGCCAGTGTGAGCACAAACCATTGTGCATCTGGAAAAACACCTTTAAATGCTGTAAGATGAAACAAAGCAGAACATATGGAGAAAGAGAGTATGGAGGTTCTGCGGTGTCAACCAGACGCAGGGCAATGAAGACAGGGAGCTGTTCTAACTCCTAATGACCTTTTGCAAGGCTAAACTTTGACTGAGAAGGTATAATAGAGACACAGAGTAATGGAGGGAAGTTAGAGGAGTGAAGATGATGGTGAGAGGTTGTGAGGTTGCATGCTAACCATAAGGACCATAGTTACCTGTTTCAGCTCTTCATAACTCACTATCAGGAAGTTCTCCTTCCCTTTCATGGACATCCAGCCATGAATGTGATCAAACCAGGATCCATATACCACTACATATTGGGGAGGTAGGAAGAAGAGGTATTTTACAAGCTCTATGAAAGCAAAAATCCATCTATTATGTTCACTCTTTGGGCACAGTTAATAGCACAATGTCTGGCACATTTAGGCCTGTCCTAACTGTTTGCTGAATGAATGAGAGTAAAGATGTAAAACTATTATCCAACATCATGCATTTACCCTGTAATAAGCCTTGTTCCTTTGGAGCAGGCTCTGTACCAGTTTTCAAGGGTCTCTAAGAAAATCCTGTCTAGAGAGCCATGTGGCCTTAAGAATGGTATTCTTGCTGCCTCTAATCTTTTTAGTGTTTATAAATTTGCTTGATGTGTCTTTTCCACAGCCCTTGAAGATAGTTTTCCGTCTTCTTCCCTTCATGTTGCTGTTGTAATTATTGTTCCATTGGATATCATCTATCTTTCCTCTGATTTCAGATTCTTCTCCTTTTTTCTACTACAGTTTTCCTAGAGACTAGGCAAAGATTAATTTGTAATAATTCTTTGTGAGGTTAGGTGTGGTTTTTTAAACTGAGATTGTATCCATTCAGGAAGTGTCAGGCATGTTTTCTTGAAAACTGTTTTTCTCTATATTTTACATTATATTCTTCTGAGACAAGTCTTCTCAATCTATCTCCAATATACTAACTCTTTTATAATTTTTAATGTCTGTCTCCCATCCCTGAGGCTTTTTCAACTCCAAAGTCTAGCAGGAAGTTTATTATCAACTGAGAATTCTACCTAGTGATGCTATCTTTCAAGAATGAGCATAAAAGAAAGACATTTTCAGACAAAATGCTGAGAGGATTTACCACTTTTGTCATGAGAGAACTAGTCTAAGTTAGACTTTATGAGTAAATAAAGTGAGTCCTGGAGGAAAGAACAGCCATTGAGTCAGAGGAAATTAAAACAGAAATAAAAAAACACCATGAAACAAAGAAAAATGGAAGCACAACATATCAAAACTTATGGGTTGCAGCAAAAGTAGTTTTAAGAGGGAATATTATAGATATACATGTGTACATTAAGGAAAAAAGATCTCAGATACAAAATTCAAATTCACATCTCAAGGAACAAGAATGAGAAGAACATACTAAGCTCAAATTTAGCAGAAGGAAGGAAATAGCAAAGATCACAAAGAGAAAAAAATGAAATGGACACAAGAAGCAACAGGAGAGATTAACAAAATTAAGAGGTAGTTTTTTAAGAAGATAAAATCGACCAAACTTTAGCTAGACTAAGAAAAAACAGAACAGTCTCCAATAAATAAAAGATTACAGGATAGTCAATGCAGCTGTTGCCACAGAAATACAAAGGATCATAAAAGACTACTATGAAAAATTATACAGTAACAATTTGGATAACCTACAAGAAATGGATAAATTCCTAGAAACGTACAACCAGAAAGACTGAATCATGAAGGAATAGGAAATCTGAATAGTCAATAACAGGTAATGAGATTGAATCAGAAATCAAAAATCTCCCAACAAAGAAAAGCCTAGGACCAGATGATTTCCTGGTAAATTCTAGCAAATATTTTTAAAAGAATTAAAACCAATTCCTTTAAACTTTGATAACATTGAAGAGGGGAGAACACTCCAAAACTCATTTTATGAAGCCAGCATTACCCTACTACCAAACAGTTGTGTATCTATTCACTAACAAGGAAGCACTTGAAAGAGAAATTAAGAAAGCAATCCCATTTACAATCACATCAAAAGGAATAAAATACTTTGGAACAACTTAACCAAGGAGGTGAAAGACTTACATACTGAAAACTATAAGACATTGATGAAAGAAATTGAGAAGACACAAATTAATGGAAAGATATCTTGTGTTTTTGGGTTGGAAGTGTTAATACTGTGAAAATGCTCATTGTATCCAAAGTAATCTACAGATTCAATTCAATTCTTATAAAAATTGTAATGGTATCTTTTTGGAAGTAGAAAATGTCCTAAATTTACATGAAATCACCAAAGACCCTGAATAGACCAAGCAACCTTGAGAAAGAAGAACGAAGCTGGCGGCATCACGCTCCCTGATTTCAAGCATTATTACAAAGCTATAGTAATCAAAACAGCATGGTACTGGCATCAAAAAGAGGCACATAGACCAGCAGAACAGAATAGAGAGTCCAGATGTAAACCCACACATATATAATTGGCCTTGGAATTGAAGAGAGACTTGGGGATGAGCTGGATGGGGAGGTGGGTGCTGACGAGGCGGGGGCCTTCTTTATCCTTTAGTGAATTATACCCATCCTCAGTCTCTACCCAGGGTGAGCGTTCCCAAATGGGCACAGATTGGAGCAAATCAGGCAGACAATTTCAATCAATCAGTTTGTTCCCGGATAAAGAGGGAAAAATGATGGTAACTCATTTTAATCTGACTTTTTAAAAACTTGAGATAAAACATACACAACATAAAGTGTACCATCTTAACCATTTTCAAGTGCGCAGTTCAGCAGTGTGAAGTAAATTCCCATTGTTGTGCAACCATCTTGAAGAACTGAAACTCTGTCCCCACTCAACAACAAATCTCCAGTTTCCCCTCCCTCCACTCCGTGGCAACCAACATTCCATTTTCTGATTTAATAAGTTGATTACTCTGGATACCTCATCAAAGTGAAATCATGCCATATTTGTCCTTCTGTGATGGGCTTATTTCACTCAGCGCAATGTCCTTACAGTTCACCCACGTTGTTTTGTGTGTTAGAACTTCAGTCTTTTCTAAGGTTGGAAAATATTCTATTATGTGTTTACACTACATTTTGTCTATCCATTCATCTGTCAATGGGCATTTGGGTTGCTTCTCCCTTTTGGCTATTTGCTTAAATCCTTTTAACCTTTTCCCACTGCCCTTGGCTTTTCACCACCAGGAGGCTTCCAATGTCTTCAGCCTCAGTGCTTGCCCACTTTGCACCCCGTCTATGCCCCTCCTCTCATAGAAATATGATCCACATCCTTCCAATCCCTTGAATTTTCTAGATTCTCTTCCAGTTCCTGACCATTGTCCATGCTGATACCTTTACCTGAAACTATTCCTTTCCACTAAATAGTTTCACATTCATTGTTTCATCTCAATTGAAACGCTATTTCTTCTGCTTTGGGGTTTTTTTGTTTTTGTTTTTGTTTTTTGGCTCAGATAGCTGTGTTTGTTCATCCCTCCCCAGTTTTATTGAGGTATAACTGTCAAAAAAAATTTTATAGATTTAAGGTGCATCATGCGATAATTTGATGTATGTAGACATTGTGAAATGACAACAACAATAAAGCTAATTAACATATCCATCACCTCACAAAATTACCTTTTTTTCTATTTCTTCTATGAGGACTTCAGTGGTCATACTCCTCCACTCCTGCATACAAAAACCCGACTTTGCCTTAGGACTCACTCCATTGGGTTTCCCTAATACCTTAGGTTAACCCTCTGGACACTCATCTTACTGTGTAACTGCCTGGCTGAAGCATTTTCTCTGAACGTAAATGGCATCAGGGCCCAGCTCTATTCCCCCATGGCATTCCATGTTATCTGGCATATAGAAGGCGTTCCATTCATCTACTGAGTGAATGAGGGACATGGCCACAGCTTGTCTCAGCATCTGATCCAGCTTCCTTACCTGATTTGGGGTAAGTCAGTATCAAGACATTTTCATCCTTAAACGCAAAACTCTCCTGCGCTTCTCTCAGGACTTCAGGTGTGAAACCCATGGTAGGGAAAGGTACCCCTTCAAACCACATATACCCGTCTGACATTGTGGTGAGCTCTTTGTTCCAGGTGTTAGAGTTTCAGGTGTAGCCGCTGTTGGAGGTTGTGGCAGCTGCTGGGAGACCAGCTTTTATACTAAAGATAAAACAATTATTAACCTCTCCCAGTTTATTGAGGAAGTGCCTGCTGACAAAGAAAATTAGATCTCGATAGACGGTCCCAAGGTTGATGATATTGAGGAACCGTGAAGTCATTCTGAGAACATTCTAGGGTAATCATAGCTTGAATTCATGAAAGGGAACCAGGAATTCAATAACAAGCCCAAGAATGTAGAAATGGGGGCAAGTTTTAAAAAACATTTTTCATAAGCATTATTTTTTAGAACAGTTTTAGATGTATGGAGAGATTGCAAAGACAGCAGAGAGAGTTCCCATAGTCCGGAATTTATTCTGATTTCCTTAGTTTTTCCCTAATGTCCTTTCTAAGTTCAGGATCCCATCCAGACACCACATCACACTGAGTCATCATGCCACCTTAGACTCCCCTTGGTTGTGACGTTTTCTCAGAATTTCCCATTTTTAATGACCTTGACAGTTTTGAGGAGCGCTGGTATGTGGGTATTTGGGTGAAATCTCTCTTTTGGGGTTTGCTGGATGCTTCTATCATCACTACACTAGGCTTATGGGTTTAGGGGAGAAAGATAACAGAGGTAAAACCTCATTAGCATCACAACACTTCGGGGGAACTTACTATCCATGTGGCAATGACTGTTGATGTTGACCTCGACCATCTGGCTAAGGTCACATTTGTCAGGTTTCCCTCCTACGTTTACTCTCCTCTGTTTCCATGTGGGGCATATTTAAAACATGAACTCTGGGCCTGAATGCATTCGTGCGTGCACATTGTATAAACTCCAATTGAAGGATATTCTACAAAATAGTGGGCTGGTGCTATTCCAATTGTGAAATCGTTATGAAAAGAAAGAAAAGCTGAGGCTGTGTTCCAGAGTAAAGGAGCGTGTGCACTAAACCTGGAGTGGATCCTGGACCACAAAAATGCTACCATTATATCATTAGGACAACTGGCCACATTTGAATATACTATGTGGATTACATAATAATATGCATCAATTTTGAATTCCCCAACTTCTATAATTTTACTGTGGTTATATAGGAGATATTTTTGTTCTTAGGAAATATACACTGAATAATCTCTCTTAGACCTTAAACTCACAGAGATGTGGGATTGAATTCATACTAAACTAAACTGGAATACGGGATCCAGCTCTCCTTTGCCAATTAATCATTAACACACTGAGAGTTTATTAAGTACTTTCAGGTTCAGGGACTGGGCTGGGGGAATTCTTACATCCATCACATGGAAGATGCAGAACAGTAATTGTTCTTTCATTGGCCCCGCCCTTCTCTTTCCCAGTTAAGGACCCTAAGGGCCACAGCTTCACACGTTCATGCAACAAGCAAAAGGGAGGGTGCCCCCCAATGTATGGAATATCGACTTGAGGAGAACTTAGAGAAACATCTAGGTTTCTGTGTGTCCCTGTGGGCTTCAGTCAGCTCACATTAAAACCATCTAATGAAGTATCTAAAACTTATCTGGATATTGTTTTAAGCTTGGCAGTTTGAACATTAATAAACTTCATGGTCATCTTGTAAGCACTGTTTCCTGCAGAGGCAGCGAGTATATCCTTCTTTTGGTATCCAAAGGACAAGGGAACTTCCTGTGTCTCTGGGTCTGACTATATCCCATGCTGTTCCCTGGATATTTCAGAATGGGTTTCTTCTTCATCTGCTGATTCAGGGACCCCATCTGTTTGTTCTGGCAAATGGCCCCTCAGTCTCAGTCTCTCCAGATTTCAGTTTGTCTTCTTTTTCCCCCTCTCTCCAGTTCTCACAAGGCAAAGACACTTCTACCTATACCACCTCCATCTTCACCCCAGAGCACAGAGAACAGAATTAAGCTTGAAATTCACCCATTTGTTGAAGGTAAAACAGTGAACTCTCTTCATATATACCCTGAGTCCTTTTTCTACATGAGTCTAAGAGATTCACCTTCTACAGAGTAAAACAGTAGATTCTTATCTTTACCTTGATGCCATGGATACCAACGGACCCACAAGGATCACCATGGAAACCACCAAAGATGGATCCTGATGGATCACAGCATCTCCACGGGCCAGTGCTGACAACAACTACACAATTGATGGTGCAACAGTTTTGTTAGTTTGTTATGCTACAGGCAAGAAAATAAAGAAGAATTCTTGCTCGGTTGCTACCCTAGGGAACACAGACATGGGGAAGTTCCAAGACGGGCCCTCAGGAAGTCGCCACCTCCCTCCTTCCTGAGCTGAGCAGAAGTCCAGATGCTGCCACTGGGGATACTTAGGGCACAGTCTGGGATTGTGGGCACAGATGGGGCAGAGGTTCCTGGGCGACGGTAAAGATTCTCAATCCAGAAGGAGGTGGGGGTGTTGGGACTGCCTAGGTAAAGAGGTGAAATAGAATTGAGAAGATGATGAGGGGAGAAATCTTGTGCTACTTAACCCATCCCTTTCTATTCAGACAGTCACAGCAAACACAAACCCTGTCTCCATTACTTATAAAATTAATCCATTTTTCACACACTGGCTGCCCATTGGTGCCTGGAGGTCCCCAGGGGCAAGATCCTTGCTGTCCACTGCCCAGGGTGTGAGTCTGAATCTTGTCTCCCTCCCTGACCCCAGGACACTCTCAGGGACTCCCCTCACCTCAGCTCCCTCTTTTGGGATAGATGGAAAATTAGACTTCTCTCTGCCCTCCCCACAATGTCAGGGTCAGACTGGGGTGGGGTTCCAGTGTGTTTGTGTGTGTCCATCCCTATGAGGGTCTGTCAGATAAGCAGGTGAGGTTTTCCCTATATCCCGGATGTCCGTCTCCCACCCCCCCCCCAGAACTCTCCTCCAGAGTCTGTCACATGCGTGATCCCCTCCAAATCTGATCTAATTCTCTCTCTGCCCTGCTGAGGCTGGCCTGGCCTAAGAGGATTGGAGCATTTGCTAAATGGGACCAGGACATGTTCAGAGAACCCACTGTGGGGACACCCAGGGGACAGGACGGCCACAAGAGGGGAGCAGAGTAAGAGGGAGATGGAGACAGAGAAGCAGAGAGAAGGTGGGAGGGGTCCCCTACGGTGTTGGGGGGTGTGGATACCAAAGGAGGGAACACACTCGCTGGCTCTGCAGGAAACAGTGCTTACAAGACGACCATGAACTTCATTAATGTTCAAATTGTCAAGCCCAAAATAACGTCCAGATAAATTAGAATTAAAAACAATTGAGTCAGGTTCCTGGATACAAACTAACATATCAACTGAACACTATGTAAGGACAAATAGATTTTAAAATAAAATTCAAAATATCATCTAAAATATTAGGCCATAATAAAAGCGAAGCACTAGAAATAAACCTACAGAAAGACGTCCAGAAGACTTCCGTGGTTCAGTCGTAACCCTTCCTAGAGAATCTTTGTGAACAATCAAATGAACGAGTAAATAAGCAGCAGGCTTAGACTGGAAAGTTCAGTGCGTTCTGATAATAATTCTAATGACATTGGGAGCAGCGCGACCCCTGCTGGCCGCACGGTGAACAGCAAACGCCCCCTCCGCCGGTCGGATAAACGAGGTGCGTCCGCGGGTCGGATAAACGAGGAGCGTCCGAGGGTCCGATAAACCAGGTGTGTCCGCGGGTCGGATAAACGAGGAGCGTCCGCGCGGCACAGGAGTCACCAGCTGCGAGGACCAACCCGCCGCCGCTCCCCGCGCCCGCGTGGACGCACGTGCAGGCCGACGACACCCTGGTCCCCTCTGGCCCCGCGGGGTCTGCGCGGCTTTTCAGGGACAGAATCCTCTACAAATCCTGTAACCTTGCGGGGCCCTAGCCGTTCGCATCCGCAGAGTCCTCCCTCTTTTGGGACCCAGACGCGCAGGAGGGGGCGGGTCCCTCGCAGGGGTCACGGGGTGAGAAGAGCGCGGTGAAATCAGGGATTGCAGCAGGGTCTGAAGAGAAGGCCAAGGTGTAGGGGTCGTGAGGCCAGGCCGGGGCCGGAGCAGCAGGGACCATGTCCTGAGTACCCAGCACAGAAGCCCACCAGGCCTGGCCGGGGCTGCAGATGCTGGGCTCTGCTGGCAGGAAGATCGGGGCTGGTCGGAGGGGGGCTGTAGAAACCTGGGCCCTCGGGGCGGGGGGCTCGCAGGGGCCGGGCCGGGGCTCCAGAGCCGGTGGGCACAGCATCGGCTCCCATGCCTCTCGGTCGGGCAGTCGCTGCAGCCTAGAGCCTTTCCCGAGGTTCTTCAACCACACGTCCCCAGGACGACAGAGGGAGGAGGACACAGAGGGGACCAGGAGGAGGGTACAGTCTCAACGTGTTGCTTTGCAATCTGGGTTTTAGATACTTCACTAGACGGTCTTAATGTGATTTGACTGAAGCCCAAGGGGCATGGCAGAAACCTAGATGTTTCTCTAAGTTCTCCTCGAATCAGGATTCCATACATTTGGGGGGCACCCTCCCTTTTGCTTGTTGCATGAACATGTGAAGCCGTGGCCCTTAGGGTCCTTCACTGGCAAAGAGAAGGGCGGGGCCAATGAAAGAACAATTGCTGTTCTGGATTCTCCATGTGGTGGATGTGAGAATTCCCCCAGCCCAGTCCCTGAAACCTGAAATTATTTAATAAATTCTCAGTGTGTTAAATGATTAAATGGCAAAGGAGAGCTGGATCCCGTATTCCAGTTTAGTTTAGTATGAATTCAATCCCACATCTCTGTGAGTTTAAAGCACCAGAGGGACTATTCAGTGCACATTTCCTAAACACAAAAGTATCTCCTATATAACCACAGTAAAATTATAGAAATCGGAGAATTTAGAATGATGCAGATTATTATCTAAGCCACATTGCATATTCAAATGTGGCCAGTTGTCCCAATAATATACTGGGAGCATTTTTGTGGTTCAGGATCCACTCCAGGATTGAGTGCACACGCTCCTTTACTCTGGAACACAGCCTCAGCTTTTCTTTCTTTTCCTAACGATTTCACAATTGGAACAGCACCAGCCCACTATTTTGTAGAATATCCTTCAATTGGAGTTTATACAATGTGCACACACGAATGCATTCAGGCCCAGGGTTCATGTTTTAAATATGCCCACATGGGAACTGGGAAGAGTAAACGTAGGAGGGAAATCTGACAAATGCGACCTTAGCCAGGTGGTCGAGGTCAACATCAACAGTCGTGGCCACATGGATAGTGAGTTCCCCTGAAGTGTTGTGATGCTAATGAGGTTTTACCTCTGTTATCTTTCTCCCCTAAACCCATAAGCCTAGGGTAGTCATGGCAAAAGCATCCAGCAAACCCCAAAAGAGAGACTTCACCAAAATACCTGACCAGCGCTCCTCAAAACTGTCAAGGTCATTAAAAATAAGGAAAGTCAGAGAAAACATCACAACCAAGGGGAGTCTAAGGTGGCATGATGACTCAGTGTGATGTGGTGTCTGGATGGGATCCTGAACTTAGAAAGGACATTAGGGAAAAACTAAGAATTAGAATACAGTAGGGACTATGGGAACTCTCTCTGCTGTCTTTGCAATCTCTCCATACATCTAAAACTGTTCTAAAAAATAAAGCTTATGAAAAATATGTTTAAAATTTGCCACAATCTACATTCTTGGGCTTGTTATTGAACTCCTGGTTCCCTATCATGAATTCAAACTATGATTACCCCAGAATGTTCTTGGAATGACTTCACGATTGCTCAACATCATCAGCTTTGGAACCGTCTATCGATCTGCTCTTCTCTTTATCAGCGGGAAGATCCTCAACAAACTGGGAGACATTAATAATTGTTCTATCTTTAGTATAAAAGCTGGTCTCCCAGCAGCTGCCACAACTCCAACAGCGGCTACACCTGAAACTCTAACACCTGGAACAAAGACCTCATCACAATGTCAGACGGGTATATGTGGTTTGAAGGGGTACCTTTCCCTACCATGGGTTTCACACCTGAACTCATGAGAGAAGCATGGGAGAGTTTTGTGTTTAAGGATGAAGATGTCTTGATACTGACTTACCCCAAATCAGGTAAGGAAGCTGGATCAGATACTGAGACAAGCTGTGGCCATGTCCCTCATTCACTCAGCAAAAGAATGGAATGCTTTCTATATGCCAGGCAATGTGCAATGCTGTGTGGGAGGAGAGCTGGGCCCTGATGCCATTTACATTCAGAGAAAAGGCTTCAGCCAGGCAGTTACACAGTAAGATAAGTGTCCAGGGGGTTAATCTAAGGTCTGGGGGAACCCACAGGAGTGAAGCTTAAGACAGAGCCAGGTTTTTTTATGGAGAGCGGAGAAGGATAACCACTGAAGTCCTCATAGAAGAAATAGAAAAAAAGGTAATTTTGTGAGGTGATGGATATGTTAATTAGGTTTATCGTTGTCGTCATTTCACAATGTATACATACATCAAATCATCACATTGTGCACCTTAAATCTATAATTTTTCTTTGCTAGTCATACCTCAATAAAACTGGGGAGGAATGAATAAAAAAGCAACTATCTTAGCCAAAAAAAAAAGTAGAGGAAATTGCATCTAAGTTGAGATGAAACAATGAATGCTAATCTATTTAGTGAAAAAGAATAGTTTCAGGTAAAGGGATCAGCATGGACAATGGTCAAGAACTGGAAAAGACCTGGCAAATTCAAGGGAAGGAGAGGATGTGGGTTGTACTTCTATGAGGGGAGAGGCTAGAGGGACTGCAAACTGGGCCAAGACTGAGGCTGAAGACATTGGAAGTGTCCAGTGAAAAGCCAAGGGCGAGGGGAACAGGTTAAAAGGATTAAGCAAAGAGCCAAAAGGTAGAAGCAACCCAAATGCCCATTGACAGATGAATGGATAGACAAAATGTAGTGTATACACAGAATAGAATAGTTTTCAACCTTAGAAAGGACTGAAGTTCTAACACACAAAACAACGTGGGTGAACTGTGAGGACATTGCGTTGAGTGAAATAAGCCCATCACAGAAGGACAAATACGGCATGATTTCACTTTGATGAGGTATCCAGAGTAATGAACTTATTAAATCAGAAAATGGAATGTTGGTTGCCAGGGAGTGGAGGGAGGGGAAAATGGAGAATTGTTGTTGAGTGGGGACAGAGTTTCAGTTTTGCAAAATGGTTGCACAACAATGGGAATTTACTTCACACTGCTGAACTGCGCACTTGAAAATGGTTAAGATGGTACACTTTATGTTGTGTATGTTTTATCACAATTTTTTGAAAAGTCAGATTAAAATGAGTGACCATCATTTTTCCCTCTTTATCCAGGAACAAACTGGTTGATTGAAATTGTCTGCCTGATTTGCTCCAAGGGGGATCCCAAATGGATCCAATCTGTGCCCATTTGGGAACACTCACCCTGGGTAGAGACTGAGGATGGGTATAATTCACTAAAGGATAAGGAAGGCCCCCGCCTCATCACCTCCCACCTCCCCATCCAGCTCATCCCCAAGTCTCTCTTCAATTCCAAGGCCAAGGTCAGTGTTCAATGGTCAAGATAAGTTGATGAATGCTTTCCAAATTCTAATGTGCCTGGGAAACCCCTGGAGATCTGGTTGAAAGGCAGCCTCATTCAGTAGATCTGGGGTGGGCCTGAGATCCTGCATTGGGTGTTCCAGGGTCCATACTCGAGTACAAGGGTGTAGACCCCTCCACAGATTATACCACCCAGATTTAAACCAGAGGCAAAGTGAAATGATAATGCCAGAATCTTAGAAAACCACGTTTTACACCCAACCAGAATTTATAACTGTGTTGTATACAAGATAACCCCACACTGTGACTCTAAAAATGATTAGCCAATCTTCATTAAGTAAATGCCTTCCACCACTTGGGTAGAAGCACCAGACATCGAGTTGCCCAGGTGGGAAGCAGCCCATTCATAAATCAATGCCTAAATCCAGGGAGATTGTTGTGGCATCGTGTCTGGTTTTTCTAACCACTATGTCTCCCTATATACACCCAGCTATTGAGCTCAGCAGCTACACGAACCTCTCATGGTGCCAACAGATGGTACCCAGGAGGGACCATGTACACCCAGGATCTAGCATATCTCAGACTGTTTTTAGAAACATACTTTCCTGGAAGCTGCTCATTGGTTTGAGATTTTTTAGAAAAAAAATATGCTTAAATTAGATTGTGAAGCTTAGGGGCTGGACCGGTGGCGCAGTGGTTAAGTGCCCACGTTTGCTTTGGCGGCCCGGGGTTCACCGGTTCAGATCCCAGGTGCAGACATTGCACCGCTGGGCAAGCCATGCTGTATTAGGTGTCCCACATATAAAGTAGAGGAAGATGGGCACGGATGTTAGCTTAGGGCCAGTCTTCCTCAGCAAAAAGAGGAGGATTGGCAGCAGATGTTAGATCAGGGCTAATCTTCCCCCCCGCCCCCGGCCAAAAAAATTGAAAAGAAAAACAAAAAAAATAAAAATAGATAGTGAAGCTTAGAATACTATTCTCCTTGGAAATATCACAATGTATTGCACCACATGAAGTTTTTTTTCTTAACCCATCGCTTCCCAAGCTTGTTTATAATACACTCATTTATCTGTGTCGTATTGGTGTTTGTTAATTCCCTGCATGGGGAAACTGAGGCCTAGAGAGAGCTGGGGCCCAGAATACTGTCACTAAGAAAGTTGGTGAAGAATCCAGAGTGTAAGTCAGATGTTCAAATGCCATGTGGTCTTCCATGTGTGTGTCCATGTCTGTGCACTAATTGTAAGTATTAGCTTGTTCATCTTTACATATGTACACAACTGGGTTAACTCCTTGCAGGACATTTGTTCCTGCCAAAAATGTCCATAAAATATTTGGTCCATAAGACATTTAGTCCATGCCCAAAGGTCTGCACCATTAAGTCGTGTCCAAGACATCCATGAGCATATTTGGCCCATGCCCAATGCTTTTGGGCATAGACCAAATATCAAGGACCTTTGGGTGTGGGGACCCAATGTCTCCATGGACATTTTCAACAGGATCAGATATGACCAAATATCAAGCACTTTGTTGTGGACCCCATGTCTTATGGACACTTTGCATGGGACCAAATGCCTTCTAATTGGGCAACTACCTTCCAGATCCAGATTTAGAACATTTCCACTCCCCCAGGAAATTCCCTCCTGCGTCTCTCGAATCAATGCCCGCCCGCAGAAGTCACCGCTCCCCTGACTTCTGACTCTATCGTTGAGTTTAGCCAGTTCCTGCACTTCATGAAAATAGACTTATACCCTGAGAAGGCCTGCTGTGTATCTATGAATATAGTAGTTTATTCATCGTCTCCTAGTAGTGATCTTTAAGCTGTGCTCCAGAAATATAAGAGCACTCACTCTTCAAACCTTCACTGGCTTCCCGTTCTGAGTGGACTACGATATTCAAGACAGAAACGACAATGCTTTCCTCTTCCACTGTGATATTCTTAATATTACTCTAGTGACTGGTTCGTAGGAACTTAAAAACACACATTTGGTTAATGAATGCAGTAACCAATTTCTTAAAAGATTGCATTGATACTTAGGCATTTTCTAAGAATTCTTTTTTCCCCATTTTTATGAAGTTCAAGAAGGATGGGAAATGGCTGTATTTTTTTGTTGTTGTTGTTATTCCATTTTTCTCTTTCAGGTGATTTATCTCATCAGAAATCCCAGAGATGTTCTCATTTCTGGTTATTTTTTCTGGCGTACTTCATATTTTGTGAAGAAAGCAGAGTCACTGAAAGAGTATTTTGAATGTTTCATCAAAGGAAATGGTGAGTGAATGTAAAATATGGAATATGGGAGGTTGTCAGAGGCCTTTATCAGACCCCATCTTACACCCGACCTGAGATCTCTACAGCTGGGCATCCTGGGGCTACAAGGCTGTGTCACCATTGGAACGTCAAATTTTCAAAGTCCACCTTCTCTCCCATAGAGCAGCAGAACCCCAGCCATCCTTGCAGCTTGCCCCGTCATAAACCATCCTAGGTATGTTGTGAGTCTCCACGCCTATCTAATACTAACAGAGAGCAGCTGTATTCTTCTCCTCTCTCCTAATTTGTGACTTTCTGAAATACAGCTTTTCACTGCCTTTCTGGGCAACACAATCTTCACTTTCTACCATTTTTTAGATGCATCTTTCTACAACTGCCTTAATCCTCTTGTCCAATCTATCTCAAAAATGTATGCATTTTGGCCGGCCCTGTGGCCTAGTGGTTAGGTTTGGCATGCTCTGCTTCAGGTTCCAGAAACAGACCTACACCCATCATTGGCAGCCATGCTGTGGCGGTGACCACATACAAAATAGAGGAAGATTGGCACAGATGTTACTTCAGGGCAAAAAAAACAAAAACAAAAACAAAACCCAACAGTATACTTTATCCTAAAATCTCTATAGTGTTATTTATGCAGAATTTCTAGACTTTCTCAGATGCCTGAAATTTTGCAATTTTCTGCAAAACTATTTGATGAGTCCCTTATCTCAGCTATGATATGTCTCCTTAGTTTCAGCCGTGTTTCTCTGACAGCCCACAGACATCTTCACTGGAGAGAGGCATAGATACCTCTAGTTCAGTATGTTCAAAACTGAACACATTTCCCCATATCCCAAACTGTTCCCACTGCAGGTTGATCTTAGGAAATAAATAAAACCACCCCTCCCTCAGCATCAATAGGATTCTGTCCTCTTGCAAGTGTCTCCTGTTTTCCATCCCACTCCCCCATACCCCTCACCACTTTCCTTTATCTATTTCTTATCCAAGTCCCACGACCTTGATTATTACCTTCCTTCTCGTCTCTGCTGAAATGTCTCTGCATTTCTGGAAGTCTTCCTCTTCAATACTATATATAAGAGCATCCTACCCAGTATCTATTATCTTCTCTCTTTTTGTTCTTAGTACTCATCACCAATGAGTATCTAGTCTATTAATTTTTTTATTGCGTCCTTCTCCCAACTAAAATGTGAGCTCTTTGATTTGCTCCTTCTTGACCCAAGGTTCTAGAGTGGTGCTTGCCATACAGTAAGCAGCTGATACGCCTGCATTAAATAATGAATATTTATTTGCCACCCTTCCCTTGGTGCTTGATTGAGCAAACCCACTGTTACTTCTCACCTAGATTCACATAACAGACTCCATACGGGTGTCCACACCTCATGTTCTTTGGCCCTTCTGGGCTATGTTGCAATCATCTGTTAGATATTGAACAGTTCACATTTCCTGAATTGTTTGCCCTTGGTATAAAGGCCAATCTTCAAGCACACAGCGGTCGTCTTTCTTGTGGAGCTGATCCTGGCTGAACTCTTCCCTCCTGTCTCCTCATGTCCTTCAGGTTACTCTTTCAGAAAAAAAGGCAAAAATGAAATCCTAGGGTGGAAGCCCGGACATGAAGAGAGCAATTCCCTCACTGATATTGTATTTGATTTTGCCATTTGGTGCATAAAGTAGTCCGAATGGTGTTTTGACTGTCACCAGGAATCCAGGAAGGTCCAACCAATAGTGGTGGGTGATGAAGCCGTATCCTGTAAACCTCGCCACTGTCTCAATATCTTACTTTCTGTCATTTAAAACTCACACACGGGCCTCTTTCTTATCCAGTCAAGAAGCACTAACACCAGAATCTCTATTGATAGCAACTAATCTCAATATCCTGAGTTGCCTGCAGCCCTGTAGAAGGTTGATCCAAAACCATTCCCCTAAACCAATGAAGAAGCCCTGGGAATTTAAGTCGCAGGAAATATTGTCCTTAGACCCAGGCAAGAGGAGTCCCTGCTCTGGGCACTGGGATAGAGCAGAGCTCTGGATCATATATGAAACAAAGGCTTAGGGGATCTCTGCTCTGGACACACTTCCTCCCCAGCAAGGTAAAGTCTATAGGATTCCTGGAGTTTGTGACCCTGTCATCACCCATGCTCTGGGAACCTTGAACCCTAGAATGTCCTCTGCAAAATGCCTAAAGCATGCTTTCATGGCCTGTGTGGTCCTCTTCCCTACGTCCTACCTCCCAAGACAGACTATACCAGCACCATGAGTACTACTAGATTAGGCTCAGCCAAGGGGAGAAGCAAAATGAATGACCATAATTGCTCCTTGCAAGCATCGCTGAAGCCATTAGGTTTATGGTCATTACTTTCCCAACACTTTGAATGCCCAAAGTTGGAAATTAAATTAGGTGTTTCAGCTCCTATTCAAAATAATGCTTCTCTGGTGCTCATGTGCGTGACTTTCTTTCTGGTTTATATATCTGAGCATAGAACTGCTAAGGCATAGCAAATATGAATTTTCAATTTAAAAAAATAATATCAAACTATTTTCCAGAGTAGTTGTACCAATTTATATTCCCAGAAATAGCATATGAGAGTTCCTGTTACTCCGTATGCTCAGTGACATTCATTATTGTCAGTATTTTTTGTGATGGTCATTATAGGAATTTTACAGTGTAATTAGTGGAGATTGGCGTATTTTACTCTATCTCCTCACTTATAGACATTGTTTATCCCTCCTTTTATCTGAAGCTCTTTTAATGTCTATGTGATCTTTTATAATATTTTTCTGCAAAGACCTTGCAACTCTTTTTTAGATGTATTTCATTTCTTCTAGATTAATGACATCTTAAAATTACGTTTTCCAGTAGTTTGTGCCTGATTTGGGGATGGAACTGATTTTGAGTATTGATTGGGTATTCACCAATGTGAATGAACTCTCTTCTTAATCCTCATTGTTTCCCTGTAGGTTCTTCTTGATTGTCCATGAAGTATAGACATAACCTTTAAGTAATGACTGCAAAATCTCCATTCTAATACACATATGTTGTCCTTATTTTTTCCTGTCTTATCTCATTGGCCAGGGCTCTGGAACAGTGTTGGATAGAAGTGATGATAGTGTTAATACCTGCCTTGTTCTTAATTTTAAAGATAATTACTAAAAAAGGTTATATTTTAACTTTATTGATAAATATAATTTATATATTTAAAACTGGTTATTTGATATATCTATATATTGTTTAGTGATTACAAAGATCAAGATAATTAACACATCCATCACATCACGTAGTTAAATCTTTGCATTTTTGTGTAGTGAGACAGCTTAAATCTATTCTCAGCAACTTACAAGTACAAAATACTAAATATTACCTATAGTTACCATACTACACATGGGATTATCAGAAATTCTTCTCCTTATAACTGAAAATATAACTGACTAGAATAATATATATACATATAACATTAACCATTCATCCATCAAAGGACATTTAGGTTGTTTCCACATGTTAATTACTGGAAACGCAGAACAATGCTGACATGAACATGGATCTTCGGCTATCGCTTCAAGATACTGATTTCAATCCTCCAGATGTATACCCAGGAGTGGGATTGCAGCATCAGTGGTAGTTCTATTTCCAAATTTTGGTGGACCCTCATCCTGTTTTCCTAATGGCTGTACCAAGTTACATTCCTACCACCAGTATATAAAGGAGTCCCATTTCTCCAAATCCTCACCAATGTTTATTTATTATCTTTTTTAGGATTAGGATAATAGCCATCCTAACAAGTGTGACGTGAAATCTCACTGTGGTTTAGATCTGCCTTTCCTTGATAGTTAGTGACATTGAGCACATTTTTATACACATACGGGCCATTTGTGTGTCTTCTTTGGAACAATATCTAATCAGATCCTTGCCCATTTTTTAATTGGTCTATTTGATTTTTGCTATTGCGTTGTATGAGTTCTCCATATTTGGAAGATTAACTTCTTATCAGACATATGATCTGCAACTATTTTTTCACATCCCGTAGGTTGCCTTTTCAAGTGGCTGATTGTTTCCAGTGCTGTCAGAAGCTTTTTAATTTTATGTCGTCGCTCTTGTTTATTTTAGCTTTTGTTGCCTGTGCTTTTGGTGTCTTAGCCAAGAAATCATTGCCAATCCAATGTCGAGGGTCTTTGCCCTGTGTTTTCTGCTAGGAGTTTTATGGTTTTAGGTCTTTTGTTTCAGTCTTTGATCCATTTCAAGTTAATTACTGTGAGTGGGATAAAATAAAGGTCTGTTTTCCTTCTTTTTCATGTGGATATTCAGTTTTCCCAACACCATTTATTGAAGAAACTATTCTTTCCTCATTGTGTGTTCTTAGTTCCCTCATCAAAAATTAGTTGACTATATATGTGTGGGTTTACATCTGGACTCTCTATTCTGTTCTGCTGGTCTATGTGCCTGTTTTGATGCCAGTACCATGCTGTTTTGATTACTATAGCTTTGTAATAATCCTTCAAATCAGGGAGTGTGATGCCTCCAGCTTCGTTCTTCTTTCTCGAGGTTGCTTGTCTATTTGGGGTCTTGTTGGTTTCATATAAATTTTATGAATTTGTTTCTACTTCTGAAAAGATACTGTTAGAATTAACATAAGAATTGCATTGAATCTGTAGATTACTTTGGATACAATAGACATTTCACAATATTACACTTCCAACTCAAGAACACAGGATATCTTTCCATTAATTCGTGTCTTCTCGATTTCCTTCTTCAATGTCTTATAGTTTTCAGTATGTAAGTTTTTCACCTCCTTGGTTAAGCTTATTCCAAAGTATTTTATTCCTTTTGATGCGATTGTAAATGGGATTGCTTTCTTAATTTCTCTTTCAAATGCTTCATTTCTAGTGAATAGAAACACAACTGTTTTCTGTAAACTGATTTTCTTTCTTGGAACTCTACTAAGTTCTATTATTAGTTCTACCAGGTTTTGGGGAGAGTTTTTAGGATTTTTTTTTATATATACCAGATCATGTCATCTGAAAATAAAGTTAATTTTCCTTCTTCCTTTCTGATTCAGATATTTTTGTTGCCTAACTATTGTGGTTAGGACTTCTAAAGTCATATTGGATGGAAATGGTGAGGGGACATCCTTGTCTTTCTCCTGGTCTTAGAGGAAATTCTTTTAACTTTTCACATTGAGTATAGTATTCGCTGTGGACTTCTCCTGTTTGACCTTTATGATGATGAGGAACGTTCCTTTTGTACCTGATTTGTTGAGATCTTTTATTATGAAAATGTTGAATTTTGTCAAATGCTCTTTATGTATCTACTGAAGTTCTCATACAATTTTTATCCTTTGTTCTGTTAATGTGGTGTATCACATTAATGATTTGCATATATTGAAACAACCTTACATCCCATGATGTATGATCATTCTAATGTGCTGTTAAATTCGGCTTGCTAATATTTTAATGAGGATTTTTGCATCTATATTCATCAGGAATAATGATCTGCTCTTTTCTTTTCTTATAGTGTCCTTCTCTGGCTTTGGCAGCACGGTAATGCTGGCCTCATAAAATGAGTTTGGGAGTGTTCTCCCTCTTCAGTTTTATCGAAGTTAGAGGGAATTGGTTTTAATTCTTTTTAAAATATTTGCTGGAATTTACCAGGAAACCATGTGATATTGGGCTTTTCTTTGTTGGAAGATTTTTGATTTCTGGTTCAATCTCATGACTTGTTATTGGACTATTCAGATTTTCTGTTTCTTCATGATTCAGTCTTGGTAGGTTGTATGTTTCTAGGAATTTATCCATTTCTTCTAGGTTACCCAAATTGTTAGCATACAATCCTTCATAGCAGTCTTTTATGATCCTTTGTATTTCTGTGATAACAGTGGTAACGGTTCTCCTTTCATCTTTTATTTATTTGAGTCTGTTCTGTTTTTTTCCTATTCTACCTAAAGGTTTGTCAATTTTGTTTATCTTTTTAAAAAGCAAGGTCTTACTTTTGTTAATCTATTCTATTGTTTTCTTGTCTCTGTTTCATTTTTTTCCTGCTCTGATCTTTTTTATTTTCTCCCTTCTGCTAAATTTGAGCTTAGTTTCTTCTTCTCTTTCTAGTTCTTTGAGCTGTGAAGTTAAATTTTTTGTTTGAAATCTCTTGTTTTTTCCTTAACAATGGTGTTTATAGCTATAAAAGTCCCTCTTAGAACTGCTTTTGCTGCATCCCATAAGTTTTGATGTGTTGTGCTTCCATTTTCTTTGTTTCATGGCATTTTCTAACTTCCTTTTTAATTTCTTCTTTGATTCATTGCTTTTTCCTTTCTCCTGGATTTACATTTTTATTCATAAAGTATAACTTAGACTAGATCTATCATTACAAAAGTGGTAAGTTACCCCATTATTTTGCCTGAAAATGTCTTTCCTTGAAATTCATTCTTGAAAGATGCTATAACTAAGTAGAATTCTCAGTTGATAATTAATTTTCCACCAGACTTTGGAGTTAAGAATGGCTCAGGCATGGTAGACAGACATTGAAGATTATAAAATAGTTAGTATGTGGAGGATAGAGTGAGAAGACTGGTCTCACTAGAATATAATGTAACATATAGAAGAAAGGCAGTTTTCAAGGAAACATGCCTGAGAATTTCCTGAATTGATGAAATCTCAGTTTAAAGAGTCACAATTAGCCTCACAAAGAATTATTACAACTAAATCTTTGCCTAGTCTCTGGGAGAGTTGTACTAGAAAAAGGGAAAGAAAATCTGAAATCAGAGGAAAGACAGATGATATCCAATGGAACAATAATTACAATAGCAAGAGGAAGGGAAGAAGACAGAAAAATAACTTCAAGGGCTGTGGGAAAGACATATCAAGCAAAAATTCTACACACGGAACAGATTAGAGGCAGCAAGAATACCATTCTTAAGGCCACATGGCTCTCTAGATAGGATCTTCTTAGAGACCCTTGAAAACTGGTACAGAGCCTGCTCCAAAGGAACAAGGCTCATTACAGGGTAAATGCATGAAGTTGGAGAATAGTTTTACATCTTTACTCTCATTCATTCAGCAAACAGTTAGGACAGGCCTAAATGTGCCAGACATTGTGTTATTAACTGTGCACAAAAGAGTGAACATCATAGGTGGATTTTTCCTTTCATAGAGTTTGTAAACACCTGTTCTTTCTACCTCCCCAATATGCAGTGATATATGGATCCTGGTTTGACCACATTCATGGCTGGATGTCCATGAGAGGGAAGGAGAACTTCCTGATACTGAGTTATGAAGAGCTGAAACGGGTAACTATGGTCCTTGTGGTTAGCACACAACCTCTCACCATCATCTTCACTCCTATGACTTCCCTCCATTCCTCTGCATCTCTATTCCACCTTCTCAGTCAAAGTTTAGACTTGTGTAGGGTCATCAGGAGTGAGAACAGCTCCCTGTCTTCATTGCCCTACATCTGGTTGACACTGCCCAAGCTCCATGCCCTTTTTCCATGTGTTCATCTTTGTTTCATCTTACAACATCTAAAGGTGTTTCTTCATAAGTACAATTGCTTTTGCTCACACTGGGAATGGTTCTAAAATTTCTAGGAGTAGGACACATGATGCTGCTGATAACCTAGGGTGGGAGGGGAGTGAGGAAGAAGATGGGACTAAAAGAAAAAAGTCAGGTTCCAGAGGTGTGTCCAACTGCCTGAAATCCCAGATTGACTGATAGAAGAAAGATAAAGCCAGGAAATCAGTCTGTGTAATTACTCTCACAGGCCAAGTCTAGACTGAACAGTGATGGGCAGGAGAAGTGGTCAGTTGATGCTCTAAGCCAGGAAGGAGAATTAAACCATTGGAAGGAGAACTTGGCCTATTAATGGTATCCCAGAGAAAAGAAGAAATAATGTAAATGCAAGCTTTTCCCTTTGAGAAACAAATCATTTCCCATCCTCTTTCTCTGTCCAATTCTCTGTGACCCCCACATGAATTTCAGTTTTTACAAAGAAGCCTTTTGTAATAAGTTTTACTCCCTCAGCTACATTACCTTCCAGTGATTATGCTTTCAAGCCACAAAATCAACTTGTATTGGAGTAATTTCTACAGTTGTGTGTCTTCTGCTTAGATCCTTATGGGGGCTCATGGGATAAAGAAACATTTTAAAGCATTACAGCTCTATGAGGAAAGTCTATGATACAAAGCAAAGTTTTTCTGGTTTAGCTCATTGTTTTTGGTAATCTCCCAGGATCATGAGTCAAGTACTAATTACTGAGATGATGTAGAAGAAGATATTGTGAAAATCTGTGTTATTCAAATCTTAATTATGTAAAACAACGTGAATCAATGGCACGGCCAGGATTTGAAGTCAATCTCTTTGATCTTTGTCAGGTTCTCCCTGAACCTCTCCTCAATTAATCCTCATCATAATTGTCTAGAAGCCTTCCTACAAGTCTCTTTAGAAAACCCTGGCCCTGTATTTTGTGTTACGGCATCCTGAACTCAATTCTACTGGGAAATCCATATGGATCTGGCACCTTTGTATCCTTGGTGCTCCTTCCTCTTTACGTTTTCCCTTCCTTCCTCCTACTCACAACCAATCGCTTCCTGCTTCTCACGTTGTTCTTCTCTTCCTCCCTCCTCTCCTCCTTCTCCTCACATTGTTGTTTCCTCATTCTCACCTCCTTACCTATGTTCTTTCTGTTTCATATCCTCTCTCTTGTTTTTTCTTCTTCTAGGACACAAGAAGCACTGTAGACAAGATCTGCCAATTCCTAGGCAGGAAATTAGAACCAGAAGAACTGAACTCACTCCTCAAGAATAGCTCCTTTCAGGTCATGAAAGAAAACAAGATGTCCAATTTGTCCCTCCTGCGTGGTCAGTTTTTAGATGAGAATGGAATACTACTGAGAAAAGGTAAAAGAAAATGCTCTGCCTTCAAAATATATCGGGATACGTGGAGGACATACTGGTGATAACAGCAGGGCACTAACAGGTGGGACTAGGCAGTGTTTGAATTCCTCAAGTCTAGTTGTCAGAGAACTCCTCATGTGCCCTTATCACAAAGTCTCTTTTCACAGCATTGATGTGGGCTTCAGGCACTTGGAGGACGTTGACTAGGCTCCAGTGGTCATCTGACTTTTGAGAGGTCATTCAGATTCTCTCTCCTCAGAATTTGACATGGGGAATATTCGTTCCACAAACACTGACCAGGCTAATTCACTACTCCTGCCAACTTGCCAGCTGGGATTGACCTGGGAAGAGAGGGCAGGATTGGAGATGGTCATGTTGGTGCTACCGCACTGGTGATTTAGCACAGAGAACTATGCTGAATAAAGAAATATGGAAAGAATGAGTTAACCGAGAAAAGGAGAGGAGAGACTTTTCACTTAGCTGAGAGCCTGTCTTGCTATCAGACAATATCAGACCCTCTGTGAGGAAAGATTAATGGTGTCCGTATCCTTGGGCACAAGATGAATGAAGAGTGTCTACTGAATGGAATAGGAGCTTAATTTCCCAGAACTCCACAGTTCAGATACATCCAGGATGGTGATTCATGGATGGAAGAAATTAAATGATTCAAAAGACCTCAATCAGGAGGCAGTTGCCACCCAGGGCAGGGGGGGTGGTGGCCCACCACCCCAGTAGGCCAGGAGATCAGACCATCAAGACCAAGAGGTTCATTGTTGATCTTACAATCTCTTGGAAGTTGTCCTGCTAGGGTTTGGAATTGCTTGGCACCTGTGATCTCTTTCTGCTTTCTGAGTTCTCCCTATTGGAATTGGAATATTTATCCTATGCCTTTCCTACCACTGTATTTTGGAAGCAGGTAATCTGTTTGCTTCCCAGGTTCACAGCTGGAGAAGAATCTTGCCTCAGGATGAATCCTACCTCAAATCTGACCCATGCCTGATTTACATGATATTTTGCTGACTTTTGGACTTAAAGTCGACGTTGGAATGAGTTTAGACTCCGGGCAGTTCGGACAGGTGGATGCATTTTGCGTGTGAAAAGGACATGAATTGGGGTTGGGGGGGACAAAAGAAGAAGTATGATGGCCTGAATTATGCCTCCTCGAAATTCAAATCTTGATTTCCTAACGCCTAGTACCTCAGAATGTAACTGTATTTGGGAATAAGGTCTTTAACAAGGTAATTAAGTCAAAACGAGGTCTATAGGTTCCTCCTAATCCATAAGACTGGTGTCTTTGTAAGAAGGGAAAATTGGGACACAGGAACATGCTCACACACAGAGAAGATCCTGTGAAGACAGCCATCTACATGCCAAGGAGAGGAGCCTGCAGAAGAAACCGACGCTGCTGACACCTGGATCCTGGAGTTCTAAGCTCCAGATTGTGAGAAGATACATTTCTGTCATTTAAAAAATACCTCTAGCAATCCCCGTCTTTGACACTTTACTAAACTTGAAGTAAATTGAATACCTGGCATAGAGAGATTGTCTATTCTTAGGTTTCCTTTTATGCATCAGGGTTTGGCGGATTTTAAATTTTATATTTATGTACAATGCTCGTGAGAAATGGCTAAAAGGACAAAAGATGGTTATTTAAGAGAGAAAGGCAGTGGAAATTAATAACCCAGGTTTTTGGCAGGGATAAAATAGAGCGGATGCAATCAAATTTGGTGCATAATTCAATGACTACACCTTCCATTTCTTCTAGTCTAGGATGACTCCTCTGAAGGCAATCATATTGGATTTCAACATTTTCCAGTTACTCATGGATTTGTTATATGGCATAGAGATTTGGGAGGGATCGATACAGTAATGATAAGAACAGTTAAAGCTACAGTGTGATTATTATTGCTAAGCTGGTGGTCTGACTCTACACGTCGCTTATAACTGAATCATCATGACAATCTCATGAGGGATTATTTTCCTCAGAAAAGTATAATAAATGATGCAGCTAGGAAGACACAAATCCCTTTGATAGCTGATCTCTGATGCTGGAGACTAAGCATAACCGCCATGGTTTATGACTTTAATATTCTAGGACCGAGTAGACTAAGAATAGTTGAGTGGGTGAAAGAAAGAAAAAGAAAGCAAGAAAGAAAGGGATGAAAAGGGATAATATCCTGCTTCTGTGTCCCACATCTGATCTGTGTCCTTTCTTTCATCAGAAAGGCATCTACAGGTCAAAGAGTAATCTTAAAATTAATAATATCAATTATAATTCAATAATTTTTATATAAATTATGACATAATGAAAAAACATATAAAATATTGGCTGTTTTTGGTGGAGGGCTATTCTGTTCCACCTCCTTTCATGATGTTTGAGGCACTTTCCTGCTCAGGACACAAGAAAAAGATTTTTATTGTCCCTCAAGGACAACACTTAGGAGAGTCCTGGATGTTGAAGTCGCTGTTAGCAGAGACCCACTAGATTTTCAGGTAAAAGCAATAGTTTTCCCTAATCGACTGTGGTTATTATTATCCTTGATGATTTTTTTTCTAAAGGATGATGACTGGCATGGATTAGACGTTCTATAACTTTTGATGAATAAATAGAATGAAGAATTAATTTTAAAAACAATATAATAATTAATTAAAGAAGTGTGGTATAAAGTGTAATAAGCAACAAGCTGCTGACACTTTGGCCTCCCTGTTATGACATATCTAAACATATTATGTGTCCGAATATGAGAATCATTGAAGTAGAGCTGTCAGCGCTAGAACAGTGAGCATCCTAAGGATGACCTGGAGCTCTAATGGACTTTACTCAAAACTTGACCTCGTTCAGCCATTATTAATACCTTGGAGCCTCACAGAATTTAGTTAAAGATGTCTTCATACCCAAGATGTTATGGGCCAAATTGTGTCCCCCCAAAATCCATATGTGAAGCACTAACGTCTAGTAACTCAGAAGGCGAGTATATTTGGACCGAGGCTCTTTACCGAAATAGTTAAGTTAAAATGACGTCATTAGAGTGGACCAGAATCCAACAGGACCGGGATCTTTAAAAGAAGAGGAAATTTGGACATGGACACATGCAGAGGAATGACGATGTGAACACATAAAAGAAGATCCCCATTTATAAGCCGAGGAGAGAGGCGGGGAACAGATCTTTCCTCACAGCCTCAGAAGAAACCAACTCTGTCATAACCTTGCTCTTACTTCTGGTCCCCAGAATGGTGAGAAAATACATTTCTGGTGTCACAGCCTCCCAATCTATGTTACCTGGTTACAGTAGCCCCCCAAAACTGACACACAAGAGTTTGGGTGGATTCTTAAGAGACGAGGACTAAGGAGAGACATAAACAGAAATTGACATCAAAAAGTTTTCTAGCATTTTGAAAATGAGTGGAATGTAGAACTTGAGGACCCTTCATAGAATCATTCAGTTCTCTCATCTGGACTGATGTTGAATAGGGGGCCGCCATATTGAATTTATAGGGACTCTGCTGCCTCCAGAGCTCTTTCTGGCTTCTCAAAGTCAGATGTGTTACGGATGATTCAGGAGCCTAAGAAATCAATAACCATAAAAATTGGTCTAAATATGAAGATAATGATGAGCATGACAGTAACAGTGGATGTCTATAGGGTACTAACTATTCATTAGACATTCTACTATATCATTTCTATGCTTATAAGTTACCAGTATATAATTTATATTTTTAGGGATTAATTTATACATAATTATATATTATTCTCATAGATCATAATTTAATGAATGTATTATTTGTTTAATATCGTAATATAACACAAGTGTTAATTTCTATGACATAGAAATAATATGATTGTACCATTAATGGGATGGCTTCTACTGATAAAATCTTTGGCTTCAAATCCACATCCTGCACTTTCTGACTGGGTAACTCTCTGAGTCTTTTTTTCCTCATCTGTAAAATGGAGATAATAATAGCACATGCCTCATTCTTCTAGTCATCCTTTCAACAAATATTTGAGTACATACTATGTGTCTATGACTCTTTGAAACACTAAGTCTTTGGCAATTTAAAAAGAAAAGCCTGTGACTTTCTACAGCTTGCATATATTGGAAATACATGCCACACACACAAGGGAAATACATAGAGGAAATCATACATGATAAGTGTTATAAGTAAAATACAGCAAGGATGGGGCTTACAGATTTAAACTGGGTGGTGGGAGAGAACCTCACTGACAAGATGCATTGGAGTAAAGATGTCAAAGAAGGAAACAAGAAGACCATGAATGTGTCTGAGAGAACAGCCTTCCAGGAAGAAGGAGCAGGAAATGCAAATAGTCTCAGGAAGAGGAATGTCTGAGACAGAATCCGAAAACTCAATGTGAGGGGGTAGAGTGAGCAAGTGGGTGGTCATAGGAGATGGAGTCAGAGAAATGACGGGAGCAAACCACCTGAAGCCATGAGCCCTTTCACTGAGTGAATCCGGAAGTCCTCAGAGAATCTCAGCTGGAAGGGACATGACCTGGATTAGGTTCTCAAGGAACAAAGATGGCTGCCATGCTGAGATTAATTTATAGAGGAGAAAGACCAAAAACAGAGAGACTAGTGATAAAGCTAATACAATAACCCAGATGAGATGAGATTTTGGCTTGGGCCAAGGCGGTAGAAAGAGAGGTGGTGAGGACTGGCCAGATTCTGGATGTATCAGAGGCACAGGATTGCTGGTGATTGTATACAGGGTGCGTTGGGAGAGAGGAGGACAGAGAAAACCTTTCCGAGGCAGGTGGAAGTGTAAATGGGTATGATTGGCAGGGAGTATAAAAGCCTGCTGATGAGCCATTGCTCATAATGCTCGACTAGCTACAATTTCCATGTCAAATGGACAGAGGGAATAGATC